AGTGATACATTGTACCTAGAAAGAATGTCAATGGATAGACTTAATAGTTTAGAAACAAAATAAAACATATATTTTGATTCTATTTATATTGAGTTGTTTGGCTTGATCCTTTTTAACAAAACAGGGGTAACCTTTATATACTTTAATTAATGGGCCAGGGATTGAAGGTTAGGGATAACTTTTTGCTATTGGATATCAATTTTTCTAGGTTATCATTAATACAGTCAAGTTGATAAATCCCCTTCACACAAGATTTGATCTAAGATGTAGATCCTAGAGCAGTGATGGCTAACCTTTTTGCCATCACGTGCCAAAAGCGGAGGGAGCGCGGGGAGGTTGCCCATGTGCGTGCCCACACCCATAATTCAATGCGCCCTGCGCATGTGTGCACACCTCCCCCCCGCTTTTAACACGCAATGGCATGGTGGGCCCGGTACGCCCGTTTTTCACCCTCCCCGGGCTCCAGAGGATTTCTAGGAGCCTGGGGAGGGCGAAAACGGCCTTCCCCACACATCCTGGAGGCCCTCCGGAGGCGGGAAACAGCCCATTTCCCAACTTCCGGTGGGACCGGAAGGCCCAAAAATCAGCTGGCCAGCGCACGCATACACGCTGGAGCTGAGCTATGGCAATGCTCACGTGCCCACTGATATGTGTCCGTGTGCCACCTGTGGCACCCGTGCCATAGGTTCGCCATCATGGTCCTAGAGTAAGCTAATTTGATGTGATTTAATTTAAAGAATATAAAGTCTTTCAACTTACAAGCCTTATTTTAAACTTCATTTAAAAAGTTTGATAAAATAAGAATGGTTTTAAATCAACTTAAAGATGATAATCAGAAGCAAGCAACAATTGTTGAATCAGATGGATTGGATGGATGGACTGGGACTGAATCTGCTGCTGGGATCCCTGAAGAAGGAGTCTGGTTTGAAGGCAGGCTGCTTGGAGATGGCTGGAGAGCCATGGACCCTGAAGACTCAAAGTGGACAGAACGGATGACTGATAAAATGGATTATTTCAAGGAGATTGAGGGAGATTGAGGGAATGGACTTGTCATATTTAACTGGAAAACAAATCTTAAGAGTCATCGTGTTTCAATTTACAGGAGGTCCTGTGACTTTGGGGAATGGAAAGCAGTTGCTGGGAAAGATCCTAATTAAAGTTTTAAGGAAATGAATTATTATTAAGAATCAAACAAAGATATTGAATCATGAACATATTCATGATGGATCAGAGATAATGATTGTGATGGTCTGTGGTAGATAAGAAGCCCCTGCAAATTGTCTGAGAGTTAAATATAATAGCAGATAACAGACAGTTTAAGTTTTAAAATTTATTTTTTTTTTTAATTTTATTTATTTATTTATTTTTGGATTGCCTCTTAACCAGGGGTGAAATCCAGCAGGTTCTGACAGATTCTGGAGAATCGGTAGTGGAAATTTTGAGTAGTTTGGGGAACCGGCAAATACCACCTCTGGCTGGCCCCAGAGTGGGGAGGGAATGGGGATTTTGCAGTATCCTTTCCCTGCCATGCCCACGAAGCACACCACACCAGAACCGGTAGTAAAAAATTTTAGATTTCACCACTGCTGTTAACTATATATATATATATATATATTTTTAAATACTTTATTGAATTTTCCAATTTTTTAAAAAGACAATGTACAATCACAATCTTGATCCGAGGTGCAATGTTTACACATTTCATAGATCAAACATTAAGTGAATTTCATCCATAGCTATACAATATACAGTTCTATACAATTCTCTACATTTCTATACAATTAAGTCCATTTCGGGTGTCTAACAAATCGTAGCCTATTATCATATTTTTATCCTATTCTTTAACCAGTTATACCAAATTCCCCATATTTCATAGTACTTGAAGTTCTCTTCATTTTTTAGCTCGCTCGTCAATTTAGCCATCTCTGCGCACTCTAGAATTTTATTTATTAATGCTTCTTCAGAGGGGGTAGAGTTGGATTTCCAGAGTTTCGCAAAGGCTAATCTAGCCGCAGTAATAATTTGAATTGCCAATTGGGTTTTATTGTTGTCGAGACCATCTTCAAGCATACCTAGGAGGAAGGATTCCGGGGCCAGGGCTATCTCTTGTCCCATTATTTCCGAGAGCCAGAGTCGGATCTTTAACCAAAACTTTTTGGTCTCAGGGCAAGTCCACCACAGATGGTAAAAGGTGCCGACCGTCTTTCCACATTTCCAACATAAAGCAGAAGAATTTGGAAATATTTTGGCCAGCCTGTCCGGGGCTAGGTACCACCTATGCAGCATTTTGTAGTGATTTTCCCTGAATGTTACCGATTTCGTTATTTTGAGATTTCTGTTCCAAGCTATCTCCCAGTCATTGAAATTAAGGCCATATCCTAAATTTTTCTCCCAAATGCTTAGCTGATTTTTAGCTATCTTCTCAGCTCTATCCTCATCTAATATAAAGTTATAGATTTTCGATAGCATTTTCTTATCTGGTCCCCAAATAATTTTGTCAAAATATCCATATTTCATTTCAATACCACGTTTATCTCTATCTTCTTGAAATCTAGACTTAATCTGAAGATATTTCCACCAATCCAGAATAAACCCCTGGTCCCTCAGCACTTCCAAGGGCTTGAGCTTCCCTTCTTCATCCAAGATATCCTTATATGTGCCCATTTTATAGTTCTCTCTTCTATTTGGGGCCACTAGAGCAAGTAGGAGAAATGTACATCTGTCAGTATTCAACTGGGGAACAATATATGCGTATGTGGTTTTATCTGTTTTTAATGCACAATTTTTTTAAAAAAAACATTTCATCTAATTTTTGTCTTTGTAATAGTTTTATTTTTTAAAGTTTATATTTTACCTTTTTGAATAAAATAAAATTTAATGAGAGGCATATCAAGTTTCCAGAAAAATATTTTTCATCAGCACACACAGAAGGGTGTATATGTAAAAAGCAGTAGAAAAATATCTGATTTTTAGCAACTAGGACTTGACTAACAATAGAGTCTCCTATAAGAACATTAATGGTGGACTGGAAGAAAGATGAGGGACACCAAACTTCATATGTATGTTTGTGAAAATGATCTCAAAATCGTAGTTACTGTATTTTTCGGAATACAAGACCCTTTTACCTACCTTTTTTGGTGAGGAAAAGAAGAAAAAGAAATCTCCCTCTGCCTCTGAGAAATTTTACCTCGTTGTAACAAACAGCAAACAGCCTGCTTTACTTTCATTTTCGTTTTCAGCATAGCTTGATTAGCACAAGGGAAAAAAAATCTGCTCCAGCAATTTACCTCTTTGCAGTAACCCAGCAGAGCCCTGCAGAAAACAGCTGAGAGCAAATCAGCGGAGAGTCGGGAGGCTGATCCAATCAACTTGAGCTAATCAGTCTGTGCTGAAGCTGAAAAGAGCTGTTTTTTCTTGCTGTTTGCTTTCAAGGAGACAGAGGCCAAAGGGTGGGGGCCAGTGGGTGGAAAGGGCTATATTCGGTGTATAAGACACACCTAAATTTTCACCCCCTTTTAGGGGGGGGAAAGGTGTGTCTTACACTCCAAAAAATACGGTAACTGGAAACAGAATCTGAGTCAGCAGGAAGATGTTCATGGAAAGAAGGCAAATGCAGCCATAAGAATTTCAGGAAGTGAATGTTCTGGTTAGTGGAGACCCCAACTCAAGGACCAGATCCCCTTGCAGGCACCACGCTTGGAGGAGAATTTGCTGTTTTAGAGCTGAGCCAGTAAAGCAGAGAAGTTCAGTCTCCTCTTCATGGATTGTCTGAATGCAAAGACGGAGCAGCCATCAGTCAGAGAAGCTTTAACTGGGATTCCTGCAGAGAGGAGGGGTTGGGCTAGATGGTCTCAGGGTCTCCTCCAAATTTATAAAGGTTGTCATGCCACAACATGTATCTATTGTGCTGTTGTTGCTCTAGCCCCACCTAGTGGCCGGAGGCAGATAAGCCTAACTGTATGGTCTGAAGCCAGACTCCCTTTTCTCTCAGCCTTTGGAGGAGACGGAAGCAGCCGGTTTGACCGAGACACCTGGTCATCTGGAGGCCTCCGTCCCTCACACGGAGCATCCCTGGAGAGGTTCCAGCTGTTTCTTTGTTGGCTGTTAGTTAAAGCTGCCTATCTCCTATTTATCTTTGATTCTCACTCTTTGCATCTCCTCAGTTTCTCCTTTTCTCCCAATGAAACACCCAGATCCACCCCAGGCTCCCTTTCACTGGAGGAGAAGAGGGGGGGTTAGTTGCCTGTTGAGCTGCACACAGACCCACCTGCAGTGGGGACGGAACAAAGGGGAAATTCCACCATGCTCATCACAAACCCACAAATACGGGAATATATTTAAGAAAGAATACAGCATTTTCAAATGAGCAGAGTTTAATATCAAAATGCCATGGTATCTACTCTTTGGAACCATTAATCCCTGAGTAATTGAATTGGACAGATCTGTTGAGTTGGTTCCCCTCCTTCTCCTCTGGATTCCTCCTCCAAAGGATCTAAGATTAATGGATCCATATCGGGACCACCATACCTGCCATGGCTGCAGCCTTGGAGACCCCAAAGTCTTTTCTCCCTCCTTCCTTCTCCTCCTCGATCTGGAGGAATAAGCGGCATTCAAGGCCTGGGCCAGAGTTTTCATCATACTGTAACAGTGATGGTCATTTGGGATCCGGATCCTGTCCCTTTTCCCCAGTGGGGCTTTCTGGGTGCATCTTCTGCGGCCTTTGACGGAAAAGACGTTATTTGAAAGAGAACAGAGAAAATAATGATCTTGAAACTTTCCTTTCACAAAGAAATGGGGTTCAAAGGCAGAATCCTTTGACCTTTCTTTTGGCAAATAACCAAAGTTCCAAATACTATGGATGTATTTGAGAAGTCTACGCCTGTTCATTGCATACCCCAAAAAATTTGTGAGGATCCAGACTTTCCCTTCAATGGGTCCTGGCAGACGCATAAATGTTAAATGGAAAGGAAGAATTCTGCCCCAAATGGACTCATATTCCATTAAGTGAACAAAGACGTTGACTTGTCTCCACTTAGAGAGGGAATCCCTGGGGCTGTTGTGTATCCAGTTGTTGAGAACAGTTGTGATATAACAACACAAATTCCATTCCTGACAAGCACAGGAGGAAAAATCCTCATGAAATTCTCTCCATTTTCTGTGTCTGAAGCAAAAAGGCCAATCAGGGTCCATCTGAAATGGAGGAGCAGTTGGACAGTTGCTGGGTACTGGATCCCTTCTTTGGGGAACATTTTGTGGAAAAAGGGGAATTTCCTTTTATCACTCAGAGCCTCTGAAGCAATGTCATGACTGATCTGAAAAAGCAATGAAGAATGCTGTGTTACATTTGGGGTCAGATCAAGTCCAAAATATTAGATTTTAATAAATCCAACCTGGTTCTCCTGAATGTATTAGAATAGTTTGTTAATCAGACATTGTTTAAAATATTAAAGACAGAATATTAGCAAGATTGTATCATAATAATGGAAAATAATAACCAAATTAAAAAACAATAAAAATGTAAATCCTATTACTGTATCACCCCTACAATTGATCACAATTAAATTAACGCGTGCAAATGCCAACTGGAGTATTCTATTCCAATAAAGGGCCTATTATAATTTTTGAGGATTGCTGCATCTTTTTTTGCTTCTATATCCCAGATTTTTTCTGGAGGAAATTTTTAAACTTCTTTCTTCAATTATACAAGAAACAGGCAGACCTCAAAGCCTAATAAGATTTGTCAGTTGCATAATCCAAGTTTGGTCTTTCATTGAAGTTTTGTCTCTTCCAACAGCCACAATTTTTAGAATCTGTCAGTTTCCATAGATTAAATTTTATGCCAATAATACCCATATTTTCTGAATTTAGAGAAAGCAGAAATTGTGTAAATTCCCAAATCAGCTCTGAGGGCAGCAGCTGGAGTCCTTTTACCCACCCCAAGATCCTCCTCAGAGGCTGAGATTGGGTTGGTTCTGCTGGTGGTTTCTCTCTGGAGCCCCAAACATCAGATTGATGGAAGAAGATGGGGGAAAACTGGGCCTCAGATACTTTAATCATTGGGGCTGAGGAAGCTGGAGAGCTGAGAGGTTTTCCTTTAAGCACCACTTTCACTCCTGCCCTTTCTCTAACTGAGCTCCTTGGATGATGAGGGAGCCAAGATTCAGGCTCAGAGAAAACAACCCCAGGTAAGGAAAGGTGTTACTTGCTCTAATGGCTGACCGTCTATGGCTAGGATGTCATTTCACAAAGACCATAACTTTTGAACTTGCTTTATAAATTGTCAGATAATTATTATGACAAAACAATCCAAGTCTATACAATCCAATGTGTAAGTATGATAATATCACATTATCTATGTAAATCAGTGTATTCCAATACGAATTTAGCAGGCTAAACATGTGCACCTATAACGGAACTTATAACAAAATAAAAGGGTTGGAAGGGACCTTGGAGGTCTTCTAGTCCAACCCCCTGTTCAAGCAGTAAACCAGGCATAATAGCAGTAACTGTGAGAGGATCCTGGAGTCTTAGTGGACAACCAATTAAATATGAGTGAAGAGTGTGCAGCGGCAGCCAAAAAAGACAATGCAATCCTAAATTGCATTAACAGAGGGAGACAATCAAGATCAAAAGAAGTACTGGACTGGAAGCTGACATTGCGGTGAGACGGACAGGAATTGCTGGGGCGCCAGAATTCCTGCTAAAAACTATGCTTCTGGATGGTCCATTTCGGACCCCACAGTTTAGTTTTGACTGTGCTAGTGGAGAGCACATCCTGTGGATCCCAAGGACACTGCAAAGTCCCTGGTTGACCCAGGAAAGCTCTTTTTCTAGCGGCGGAGCAGCAGTCATTGTGGCTGCCGAGGCTGAGGCAGTTTCAGGAAGAGGGAAAGGAATGACAGCGAATCGGACCGATGAGAGAGTTTTACTTTTTTAAATGATACAAAGAACACCCTAAAGGAAAAAAGATTTGGAAATTGGAGACTGGGAGTAAGAGAGGAGAAGCAACAAACTGAATTGGAAATAATCTTTTCTTTTTAACACCCAATTATTCAATTTGAAAGACTTAAGTGTTTTACTTTCACTATTGACCATGACTAGATTGAAAGTGAGAAGATTAGCAATGTTATTTTTTTTTTAATTTTGCCTTTTTAAAAGAAAATAATTGAAGAAACTGGTTTGATTACTTAGATGGAAGCTTTATTCTTTTTTTTTCTCCTTCTTTTTGTATCTTTTTATTAATTTCAAAGGGAAAAGGTTTGGACTTTAAAACAGGAAAGATGGGAGAGTGTTTAATACTGCCACCTACTGGTAATAAAGATATTTTATTTCTATTTTTCTTTAAGTAACAGTCTAGAGATTCATTGTAGCCATAATTAAGTGGCTCTGTACTAGCTGAGACCTTCTGAGCATGCGTGAAGATGGCGGCTCATAGGTGAAGCTCCAATGCCTCAGGGGAGAAGTAGGGCCTGTTGAGGACTCTCGGGGGCCCGAATATCAGCTGTTAGCCCCGGCCCAGCAAGAGGAATGTGTGGGCGGCCTGTTGTGAGCTTTTGAGCTCCCCTGGACAATCGGCGTGGGCGGCTGGAGCCGAAAAACGCCGCGAGGCTATGGCGGCGGCGAACGGGAGGCTGGAGCAAGGTTGGGGCGGCGCCGGTTTGCCTTGGTGCCCCTCCCAGCAGCGGCCGGAGCAGGGAGGGGTGTGGGGAGACAGCAGCTCGTTGGAGCGTCGCTGGACACCCCCCCCGGAAAAGCACCCCGACATGGTTCCTGGCTGTCAGCAGCGGCTGCGACAGTTGGAGTGGCGGCTGCGGTGGCTGGGGATGAAACAACGGCCGCTGGGGCGGTGCTGGGTGGAACGGCGCTACCCTGGCTGTTTTCAGACCGACTTTAGCCCTTTCTACCAGGGTCGGTTATTTACTGCGGAGGGGAGGAAGGGAAGAACGCAGTCTGACCGGTTGCTGACTCCTGAAGACCCCTGAAGACCGAGGACTTAAAGGGGATTAGAAGACCCTATGGAAACTGGGGGTTTGGCAAAGTTGGGTGACTGGCCTGCCTCCCCCTGGCCTGTATCCATTTTCCCCTCCCCAGCCCCAATCCCCGCCGCGGCCTGATTATGGACATGGTTGGGGCTGTGGCCGTTTGATCTGGACCTTATCTGCACCGGCACTGGACTGCATTGGACTTATTGGACCACTGACCTGACCTGACTATAATTGACCCCCGGTTTCCGGCTATATCATCAGTCCCAGTCACATTCATAATGCCTTGCTGTGAGGAGAGGCTTAAGCCTGGGTGTGGTCACCGAGGGAGTCACCTTGCTGTTATTGCCACTGAATTAGACCTGTCGATACCAGCCGCCGTGAGAGGATGGCTTGGTCATTGCTTTTTGGGGAATCGGCTTGAGACTCCTCTCCACTGCTGTGAGAGGACAGTGGAGTCCCGGTTTTGATATGCGCCAAAATGGTGAACTGTCTCTCCTGGACCTTTAAATGTACCATCATTGAATCCTTAGCCTTATTCCATTTCCCCAGGCGGACTTGCAGGAATGTATTCACCAGCTGAGCTCTTTGCCTTGCGAGACTCCCCCCTCTCGCAAGCCTGGCCTTTCACGTTATCGAAGGCCTACCTTGATGAAGGGCTTTGGAACCCAGAGAGGTGGCATGTTGCGAAGAGGGGGTTGAGGGGTTTTTTATATAAAGTTTTAACAAATGTCTTAAGGGGTTCCGGGGGGGAGGGTTGGATCAGAAGTAAGGCCATGGGTATGGGAGATAACCCACTAAGGGGAGGGCCAGGTATGGCTGTGGAGCACGGTGCGGGGGGTGGGGGGCTGGGGTCGAGGGGGGGGCTAAAGTTCATCCAGATAAAGTTTTTACCATCAGTACTGTGGGTGGGAGGGGTAGATATGGTGGGAGCAGGGGGCCATATCATGTTAGGGGAGCGCGCGCCCGCTGTCTTCGAGTGGTGGCGTGCTCCGGCCCCCAAAGCTCCACTCGTTCTCCAGGTGGCGCAGATCCTCAGGGCCCTGGCCTCTGTGTGATGTTATGCAATGCCAGGTCTGTAGTAAATAAAGCCCCCCTCATTTGTGATCTTGTTCAGGAGGGGGGAGTGGACCTGGCAGGTATTACGGAAACCTGGTTGGGCCAAGAGGGGGCGGTCCCTCTCGTTGAAATGTGCCCACCAGGTTTCCGTGCATTCCATCAGCTGAGGTTGCAGGGTATGGGCGGGGGGGTAGCGGTTATTATTAACGAAGGTCTGAGACCGAGGGAGGCCACTGTTCCTCAGACAGCCGGCTGTGAATCCCTCCTTGTGAAATGGGGTCACGGGGTTCAGATGGGTTTGTTGATCATGTACCTGGCTCCCTGCCATGTGGCAGCAGCCCTGCCCGAGCTACTCAGCGTCATCGCTGTGGTGGCGGTTGAGACCCCTAGGCTTATGGTCATGGGGGATTTCAACTTGCCGTCCATCGGTGAGGCATCTGAGGTGGCTCGGGAGTTCATGGCTTCCATGACAGCCATGGACCTGACCCAGTTAATTCATGGCCCTACCCACACGGGGGGAAACATGCTGGATCTGGTTTTTGTCTCTGGACAGTGGTTGAGTGATCTTGAGATAGGGGATATAGTTACCGAGCCCTTGTCATGGTCAGATCACTCTCTCCTTCGTCTTGACATCCGAACCGCTGCACCCCGCCACAGGGAGGCGGAGCTGGTAAGATGGTTCCGCCCCAGGTGCCTGATGGAACCTGATAGGTTCCAGATGGAGCTTGGGCCATTTCCTGAAGCTCTGGCACACGCCTTGGCTGGAGACCTAGTGGCTGCCTGGGATAGGGCGGCCGCTGGAGCTCTGGACCAGGTCGTGCCATGGCGGCCTCTAACCCGGCGCCGATCTCATTTGGCTCCTTGGTTTACCGAGGAGCTAAGTGAGTTGAAGCGCCGGAAAAGATGCCTAGAGAGTATTAGAGGGCCAGTCTTTCAGAATCGGACCGGACACTGGTAAGATCTCATATTAGGAATTACCTAGTGGCGATAAAAGCAGCGAAATGTAGTTATTTTGCTGTTCTTATTGCATCATCAGATAACCGCCCGGCCGCCCTGTTTAGGGTGACCCGCTCCCTGCTCCACCAGGAAGCACGGGAGGACCCCTTGGAGGGTAGAGCCGAGGATTTTGTTCAGTATCTGCATGACAAAATCACTCAGATCTGGGAAGATTTGGACTCCGACTGGGTAGTCTCAGGGGGAGGGACTGGGGCAGGTCTTGAGAATGTTATCTGGGATGAGTTTGATCCTGTGACCCCTGAGGACATGGACAG